TGCTATGCCACAGAAATGATGCTTTAGACAAACCCAGACCAAGTATTTACACCTCTGCTGAAACATCTGCACGGCTGAAACTTCTTGCAGAGCTGCTTAAAGCACTGAGTAAGAGGTGAGGAAAATATGGTTTAACATAAGTATTACAAAATAAAATTCATATTTAAGTATATTTCGGATATTTTCCTTCTGCCCATAGAGAGGATTACAAGTATGTCCAGGTAGATCAAAAAGCAAAGTATGAGACAAGGATCAAAGCAGAACACAACCTGCACAGAGCCCAGCAGCCTTTGGCTGTGCTGACCTGACTTGGACCAGGAACCTCTGTCTTAAAAATCTGCAGGTGTCAAATTGCCTAGGAAACCTGACTCATCTTTCAGGAACTTCAGCTATTAACTGCCTTTGAAAAATTACAGTTACAAACAATTAAGCTGCTACATAAATAAATTTTAAAAAATCAGTTGGGGCCAAGTGCAATTCTAAGCTCATATTTACTCATTGTTGAAAGTTCCTTTTATTTTTCCTGAGCTGCTCTTTCTTCTGCTGCTGGCATATCACAGGAATCATCCTGGCACTGCTGAAAGGTCAAGTTCATTTCACAAAACCCAAGATACAAGCAGCTACAGGCCCCCCTGCTGCTGTGCATGTATTTCTTCTGCTCTCCTTTAAAGAAATACAATTCTATAAAAGCAAAATAAAATTTGTAGTGACCCTACAATTACCAGCTTCTTTTGATGATGTAGTGAGTGCATCCTCTACTTATGGTATGTCACAGAAAAAGGATGGTGGGAGGCTTCAGCTCTGATGAGTTTCTGCTGCCTGAGTGTGTTTTTAATTCCAGAGCATTAAATAAAGACCAGCTTTTAATATGGACTATTTTTTTTAAGAGCAATTTCATCACATGGGGAAAGAGATATTATGCCACATTTATTTCTTATTCACCTTCTACCCCCTCTGAAAGTAAGATCTATGTTTTCCCCCTTGTCTACAATAAAGTCAGGCATTTAAAAACAACTATGCAAGCATTTCCAAGGTAGCATTTTTTTCCAAATGGGTTTTTGAGCATTCCCATTTTCATAGTCACCTTGGACAAATAATGTCAAGCCAAATGTTTTTAGTACTTTGAGTAAATTAAAAACGAATTATTTAGGAGAGCTCAGGAGGAAGGAAACAGGAATTCATTAATTAATTTTGACTGAGCTGATTTGTGAGTGGTTAAATCAAATGACAGCAGCTTGGAGCCACAGGCTACCAGCTGAGCTACAGATAAAAGGAGGAAGCTGAATCAAAAACGTTGAAGCAGCAGAATAAAATGCAGCCAGTGGCACTCTAGGTCAGAGTCCCTGCACATAACAAACCCTGTTTGTGACCCAAGGTTGAAAGCTTTCAAAGCAGCACTAAGCAGGAGACTGAAAGGCAAGTCTGAAGGCTGCACATCCATCAACCCAAAGCAATCAGAGCTACCAGGAGACTCCACTCACCTGGCCCAGTGCTGTGCAGGTTCTCATTCCAGCAAGTTCAGTGAACAGGAGAGAGCTGGGAATGTGTCTGTCCACATGGGATATTTGTTTTCTGCCCTTAGAAATTGACAATCTGCCAGGGAAGTGAATAAACATTAGTTTTCTGAACTTAGTAGTTTTGCCAGCCTCTGATCAGAACATAGTTCCAAAGATTAAGTCAAAAGAAAATAAATCAAAGACATAAAATACCTAGTTTTATATGCAAATTATATAGAGATAAAAATGTTATATCACTTTTCAGAATGGACATTTAATCTTTCAAGTAGTAATTCTTGCCTGTTATTTGCAGGTTAATCACTGAGGTTTATTTATCAAAAAATATATTTATATCATAATGAAAGTAAAATTCAAACTGTCTCCAGATACTTCAGAGTAATAATGAAAACATTTCAAATATAGAATTTGGGGGAATTCTTCAATCCTTTTGTCACAAATAAGCCCACAGCAATAACCTGTGGTATCTTGTAGCCATATAACTGAGGTGGAATTCATTGGCCTAAATGAATTGTTATGAACTGTAAAATTAAATCCTTCCTCAGCAGAAATGAGTACAAGAAAGTTACAACTGGTCTCTTCTTTCCCTTGAAAATTTCCTCTGACTGCATGATAACTTTCATGAGAATACATAAAGATTTAACTTTTCATGGTAGTTATCAATAGTCAAAATGCTCACTGTTATCAGGACACTGATACAGGACTTTCTTTAGGGTTTTGTGGAGAAAAAGAAATGCAAGCTGGGCTCCTATCAATTACATGAAGTCAAGTAGAACTGAAATATCCACAGTCCTGCTTGAAAACAATGCAGGACTGTGCTTAACTTTGGTCATGTGAATTCTTCTTACAGCAACCGTGCAAAGAAATCATCCAGCACCACTGAGCCAAGGTATTACCACAGGACTTGAGAATTTTAACAGCTTTCCAGTACGTGCCAGTCTTACATTAGATACAGAGTCCAGAAAGGGATAAAAGGTTAAATCTAGCAGCAATAATGTGAAAAACCTCACTGTTGTTTAAAGCAGCTCTTACAGGGTATTCACAATCAGAGATGAAACAATTTTAAAAATGTTTTTACATTTCCTTTTTAACATTTTTCCCTGAATGTAGGTTAACATTCAAACATTATTTCACCACTAAATACAGAGTTCATTATTTAAGGTTGCTATATGTTGAGCTTATTTTTAATAATAATTAATAAATAGAATGCACAGGTAAGAATTTAATTCAAAGCTTTGGTCAGTCCATTAATGCTATGGGAAAAAATTTAAACATGATCATATAAAGTTAGTGGCACTTAATGATAAGAATGAAGTCTAACATTTAAATATGTTTCTGAAATGCAGAAAATGCACTCAGAAAACGTTAAACTTTCAGGCTCTGAGAATTAGCCATGCTTTCATAGCTTTCAGGGAAACAAAGAGCCAATGCAGACGCTGTCTGTTGAGTCACTGCACGTTGATTCATCCTGAATGCATTCCCTGCACCCAGCGACCAGTTGGGAATGAGTGGGAGTTCATTAACATCCAGGGGAAGGAAGGAAGGAAGGAGGTCTCTGCTGCACTGGATCATGCTCCACAGCTTCATATTTTACCTATAGGAATTGTGGCAAACCAATAACTTTTCAGAGCCCTTAGCAGCAATCAGCAGTCACACTCTGCCTACAAAGAAAGCAGCAAATTGGTTTAAAACCTCTTCTTAGCATATGCAGAGAAAACCATTACATGCTGTCAACATGTTCAAGTCATTGTGCTAATGAGATGAGACAGGTTGTGTGACAAAGAAAGCAGCATGTTTCTCAGTGGTGAGAACTAATGAGTTCATTGACCAGCACAGAGAACCTGAATCTCAGCAGCTCTCCCCCACTTGGCAAGGTGCCCATCTCTGATTTTAGGCTGTCACATTTAGGTTTTTGGGGATTTTTTAATCTATGTTTGGCTGAAACAGAAAGGCTTATTCTTAGTGAAGGGATCATAGGCTTTCATCCACACCAGTGGGCTAGAAATATCTAGCTGGGCTTTATAGGTCAGTCATCTTACTCTAAAGAGTGCCAAGGATGATCTTGTGTTTGTTTGATCAGCCATTTTAGCTACATTCTCTACTATCAAAAAAGTAGCTTTGATAAAGCAGCCAACTAAACTTTATAGGAAAGAAAAAAAAAAGAAGCAAATGTCCTTGAAGACTGTTCCCCTTTCATGCTGTGATTAATTAAGCAATTAAAAGTATGATTGGTCTTTTTAAAGATGTCATAAGATATGGCAACTTCCCGTTATCAGAATAAATTAAGAACATCTCTTCAGCCCTTCTATAAAGGGCTGGAGCTGCAGGACAAAATGTTACATGTTTGAGAAATTGGAGTTTTCTGTTCTCAAATATCACTGCAAAGCAGGATGAGTCAGATGGGCATGCCAAAGCTCAGGTCATAAATATTTTGCCTATTTCTATACTGCATCAGCAACTCATGCTGCCAGATCAATAGACTTCAGCACTAATGATTTCAGCCCTGAAACACGGAGCTGTTCTCCCACAAACCTAAGTGCCTTTCCAGCAGCAAAACCTGCATGGAAGTCATCAAGAGATTACTCACTCCTTTATTCTTGTGACCCGAAATCTGACTAAATAGAGGAGAGAAACAGACAAGACAAAAGCTAAAAGCTAGTATAAAACTAAAAAAAGAAATACCAGGTCTCTTCATATATAACATTTTTTTTAAACTATCAGACTGAACACACAGTTGTAGCTCTCAGATATTCTCTCAGCATTTGAAAAGCTATCCCACATCTCCTGTCACTTAGCTATTGAACAAAGGACCAGAAACATCCACCTGACTTGAGGGGCTTTGGGCTGATATCAGGAAAATCAAACCCTGGTACTTTGTCCTGGCTGCTCCTGAGATATTTTGAAATTGCAACTTATCCCTCTGACCAAGCAGAAACACAATTCTGTCAAGCTATCTTTGGCCACTGACAGGCTGAAGTATTTCAAGCTTTTTAAGTCACCTCTTTCTCACCACTCTGTTGCAGTGACAATATGTCTCCAGCATATTTTGCAACCAGGAGAACTATAATGAGAACAAGAGCAATGGAGCAATATAATCAACAGCTTAAACAAAATTTCCTGTCAAACCCACTCCTCCTCTTTGCTATTTCCCAACAACTTTGAGAAGGAAATCCTTATTCATCAGGAGGTTCATATGACTTCACCAGTTGATTTACTGATGTACCACTAAAACTTTGAAAATGCTAATTAATTCATTTACCATGGGAATACAACTTGTCCTTATTTCTGGCTTCCTACATAGTTTGGCAATAATCATTATTTCAGACAAGGCACAACTGTTTGCAAGAACTGTAATGAGAAAGGACAGACTGCAAAAAACTTCACTATCTATTGCTTTTTCTCATTTTATTTTGCAATAAGCATTCACTAGTAAGTTCCTTATACACTGAAAGTCAATTATGAAGAAACAAAAAAAAAAAAGTAGAGCAGCTCACATAGAAAAAAAAAAAAAATCAATGACATATTTAGAATTAACTCAATTAATCCATACTGCTCACTTACTCCAGAAATGTCATGCAACAAATTGACTGACCATTTTTAAGGCAGGTGGTAGCACATTAACAATACAGATAGGCTAAGTTTACTGGAAACAATTCACTTACCTCATACAAGTGCTACTCTAGCCAGACCATCACTTAACATGTCAAATATCTATAACTATCTGATCCACTTAAATGGTTTAGGAAAGTACACAGAGTGGAATAATCAATTTTCAGGGGCAGAGAAGCATTCACAGTGCACAGGATTTTGCAGTCCTACTGAAATGCACAGTTTTTCTACAGCTACTTGTATGGAAGAATATGTAGAACCTGTCTGAATGTGCATAACAGAAATATTGTTTAAAAGTTCACAGGAATTGATAGAATAACACAGAGGAAACCTCACAAATACAAAATGAACACCTTTAGTGAGCTGCATCCTGTGTGTGACACAGCACAAGGTCCCAACATCCCAGTGATTCTCCAGCTTCACTTGGACATAACCAATCTCTGGATCTTTTATTTTGAAGGGTAACTTGCCTCTGTTTCCAGGTGCCTAAGAGCAAATATTCATCTCTCCTCTTAAAAATGGAACTTTCTTCATCTCTCCATCAGCAATACTTTAGTACCATGAGAGGCCATTATCTGAAGCTGCTGTAAAATAAAGGACAGCTCTCTGAGCTTTTTTGTTATTGCATTGGAGTACAAGGCAGGCAGTCCTGTGAGTGTGGATGAAGAACATGTAGTCCTGCACTGCATACAGAGCTGGGAATCAGCATGCAATTCAAGCAATCTAAAGTTTACTGGATAGCTTCAATAGGGAAAGACTAAAATAAAAATAGAAAATGGAAAATGTTCTGTTCAGCATTTCGATACAAGCCACAATCCAAATTAGGTCATTAAATGCAAGCTGTGAAACTTAACTTTGATCTGTAAGTCACTAGAGAAAAGGATAGTGAAGAAAAGCTGTGATAAACAACTCAATTTTCCAGCTTTCTCTCCTTAGAGCTCTCTCAAGGAGATCTCACCATTCATTTGGAAGATCTTTTCTTCCTCACACCGTGTCCATGGATCTGCTCCTAACCAGAGATAAAAGGACAAGTTTTCATTAGGGTGCAATTAGGCATGTACCTCCATTTTCTATTAACAATGTAATGAAGAATAATAAAGCAAAATTAGGAACATTAACATTTTTTGGAGGTAACTGATCATTCTTAATAGAAATCCTGTGCCTAAACTCCCTATACATGGCAATAAAACTGTAGCTCATTTTTTCGGTTCATGAGGAGAAAAAGAACAAATATAAAAAAATTAAAATGACACCCCATCCCACCCTGCCCACAACTGAGCAAACCAAGAAAGAAATATCTATCTTGTGAAAATCAGTAGGAATTGCACTTCATTTGGAGGAAACTTCTCCTCATTACCACTTATTAACTGATTTAAAACACTTTAGTAAGTACAGATTTACATACAAACCTCTATTACCCAGAAACAGGCCAGAATTGTGAAAGTAATCTTGGTCAGAGATGAAAAGAAGACTTGATCCAATATCAAATGAAGAGCATGAACTTTTCTGTATTGACTTCAGGAGATTTTGGATGGAGTCCATTTGCAGTCTGCACCTGAGAAGGATTTCTCTACTAACCTCCCGTGCCAGAGGAAGATAAAAATATATTAAATTTAATGACTTTTTTTCAATTTGAGCAAAATGTCTGGTCTTCAGCTCTGGACCAGAAAGGAAATCTTTATTTTCTGTATTACAGCTAAACTCATACATGGTTACAAAATAAAAACAAAAACCAAAACAGCAACAAACCCAACAAACAAAACAAACAAAAAGAAAACAGCAACAACAAAAAATTCCCCACCAAAATCCAGACACCACTTAACACACCTTGGTTACTGAAATACATAAGAATGTTATTTCCTCTGCAATTTTATTTTGGTTTCTACATTTACCATATTTCCTATTGGAAAAAGTATGAATTCACAGCAGCTGCTATGCACCACATGTTGACAACCTATCTAGGAAGATGATAAAATATTCTATTACTTGTGCCTGATGATAGAGACAGCCATTCATCCATCAAAGCTAAACAAAACACCTTCAATCCAACCCAAAAGAGTTCTCTTCTGTGAACTCCAGCTAACTTAATTAATGCCTATTATACAGGAAGAATTAAGAAGACAGAATTATAGGATATGAAATACTGGATCAGGCCAATTTTACTGAGCATAATTTTACTGGGTATCAGCCACTGAGGTCAATAATAAAACTTAGAAAACCAGAGTAAAAGGGATACAATAAAATCAGATGTCTGTAGGTAAGCTCTTCTCTCGCACAAACTAGTTAAAGGCTGAATTGCTATAGGGCTTTCAAGCTTTGAGATACATAATCTTTTATTAAAATATCCAGCTTTTACAGCTGCCTAATTCTATTTTTCTCTTCCTACAAGTGCCCAATCCCTTTCTTGAAGAGTGCCAAACATCGGCTTCAGTAATTGGAAACTACCTGTGTGAAGCTTCTACAGCAAGCACAGGGGCTTCTTACTCCTGCTGAAACAAATATTTTCAAATCTATACCAAAAAAAGAATTACGCAGCTAAACAAAGGCCCTGTTGTGCTACTTATTAGCGATGCTTTGTGGTTTCATTTTTTATTTTGCTTTTATCTTGTTTGACTTGGCAAGCTTTTTCATTACTCTTCCCTTCATTCACATACATATTGTGCAGAACACAGTTTGACATGGCTTTTGTTTACACCTTTTTTATGGCAAGATATCCATTGTTTTATTAAAAGGCTTCTATTTCAGCAGAAATCCCAGAAAATGCTGCAGCAAATAAGTATGTGCCAATGTCAATATGTCTTTTTAAGCTGTTAAATATCTAGTTCTTTTCTACTTGTGCTCTTTTTATTGCTGCCATGAAGTCGAGGAAAATTGGAATCAGGAATTTCACAGCTTTCCCCTTGAGCTGCAGAGCTCTAAAATGTGAAGGATGGATTCTCTGTTTTCCCTTCTCTGCTGGAGACATGAGAGAAGGTTTCAACCATGCAGCTGTGGATCACTTTGAAAGTCCTTCTGGCACATAGGCTGCTGAATTTCAGGGGGTTTTCTCAGGTAACACTCTTGTTATGCTCTCTGTGCATCAGTGTCTAGCCTCTTCTTTATCTTCCTGTTGTCTTTGTAATAAAGGTGAAGCCACTCATGACACAAGCCCCTTTAAAACAAAAAACACAACTCTTCCCTTGCTTTAGTTATAGATGTAGGAGTTGTAGGGAATTACAGAACATATTGACTCTTCTCATAATTTCATTATTGTGTAACACTGAGAAAACTGATGAAAAAGGAAAAAAAATCTACTCTTTCTGCTATTTCAATATTCCAAAAGGCCCCTCATTATCATTCTCCAAGCTGAGGAAGCCCTATGGTCACCAGTCATAATAAAGGGTGTATTTCATAGGAACTGAATATTTACAAAAGTTGATCCAATATCCCAGAAATATTTTGAGTGCAATGACAATTCAACTAGGCTGGGGAAGAGTATTCCTTCTGATTCCTTTAAAATTATATATGCATATATACACATATATATAAATGTATATATGTGTATAGATCCCCCTACTTCATTTTTATATATGTGTATATATGCATATATATAAATTCTATTTATATATATATATATACACATATATATAAATGAAGTAGGGGGGATCTGTTTTGAAGTTCCTACTGTTTGAACATTTGCTTTCAGACTGTGATTCAAAAGTCTCAAGCTGTACTCTTCACAGAAAAGCTCTAATCTCCATAAAATTGCAAAAATAATCAAAATACTTCATTTACATTCAATATGTAACCTGGATTCTTTTCCATGCTCTGATGAGACAGGCTGGAGTTCTTTCTTTTCTTCATTTTCTTCAGAATGAGACATAATTTCTCTTTATGAAATCTGCCTGTAACCTCAAATCATCTGCAGCAAAGCTCCCTACTAACGTAGATTCTCACTTATGTTTTCCAAGGACAGATGTCCTGGCTTTTCCACATTAAACATTCTGTGTTTCTTTACATGTAGAGTAAAATGCACTTGGTTTTAACTACAGAGGGGAGGATATGGAAATTAAAAAAAAAAAATAAAAACATATTCCACGTTCCAATTTGCCATTATGACAGAAGAGAATCACTCCAGATTGTATTCATGATAACTTTAGTGACTTTCACCTCAATCTGGGTTTATGCAGAGCTGAGATGTTGGGAACTGCTGGGCAGTCTAATGCAGGAGAGATTTCTTCTGTAACAGGGTATTTTCAGACCTAGACTACATGGATATAGAATACAATAATTATGGATTTGCTTCCAGTACAAGTTCCCTGGAAGAGGCAATCCAGGTTCCTAGTGAAAAGAATTCACCATTTTTTTTCAGATTAAATCCCACAATTTCCCATTCAAGAGCACAAAGAATCCAACCATCAGCTTGCTGTCTCCCTCAGGACGTAGGCTCAAGAGCCCTTTGCAGATTATAAATCCTGCATTGCTTTACAAGACACAGGTAAGTGTGAACTCCTTCACGAGACAGAAGGGTGGGAGCACAGAAAGCTGAGGTGGCCCCTACCCAGAGCAGGGAGGAGGCACCACTGTCTGCCTCTCACCCACGGCTTCACGGAGCCCGCCCTGCTCAACCCAAACCCTCCACCTATTTCTCTTTTCAGGAGGAAAACTGGGACAGACAGAAAGCTCCCAGAGTAGCTGGCATCATTTTCACTGTGCTAAGTGCCTTGTTCCTGCAGGGCAGCCTGTGCAATTGCTGCCTACGAGATGAGATCCTTTTTTGCTGAGGGTTGGCATTTTCAGGAAAAAGAGGCACAGCCGCCAAAGGAAGAGTAAGGAGGCAGCCCTGTGGTAAAAACAGTGGCAAAAGTACCCCAGGAGAAGGGGGAGAATTGCTGCTCCAGAGCACCGCTGTGGAAAATGGCCATCCTGTTTTTCCAAATTTGCAGTTTCCATGGGGTTCAGGCAGATTATTCATTACAAATATTTACCTGCCACATCTTGCCATGTTTCTTTAAGATCTATATTGCTTGAGAGTATTACTGACACAGAATGGGGTTTTTTTCAATGTAAAATATTGATTTTCACGTAAACTTGTCAGTGTGAAGGCTAAAATGGAAAAGGTGAGTTACAGACAAACCTTCTCAGGTCTTTCTTTTTTATATAAAATATAGCACTGATATAAAATATAACATACTAACTCAACTATTTTAGGCCAGGCTATTCTTTCATTTTTCTTGGAATGGAAATTAAATGAATTTTCTCAGCTAACAGGAAAAGTAAAAGAGTATTTCTGCTTTTAATAGAAAAAGCAGAAATATTTTTCTGACTTGGAGGCTTGCCAAGTCTTACAAAGTCAAATGCAATTTTCCTGAGAAGTTTGGCCTTCTCAGATTAAATTCCTTAATAACATGCATCTCTGAAATGTGGACTTGTGTGTTCCTCTATTTTCTCAAGTTTCTATGTAACATTATATTTTGCTTTTGGAAACAGCAAGGAAAGAAAATGTGTTTTATAAAGGAAGTAATTCCTCAAGATCTCAGTTGGAAAGCAACAAGGGCACTTTACCATGCAGCACTGAACTGAAAATATTTGAGAGATATAGTACCAGATTATGTACTGGCCTTGTGAATCTTCTCCATAGAAGAGAGCTCTCTTCTAGAGCCAGGATGATTAGACAACAGGAAGGTATTTTTTGAGCCAAAACAGGTAAAATTTTCAAACAAAATAAAAAGAACAAAAAGAAAGAAAAATTTCTATAAAAATGAATAATATTTTAATACATAGGACTTCTGCAGCTGATGATCCTTTTCCTAGACTTGTACATACCTGTGCTCAAACCCAACAAAACACAAACATTTATTTACACACATTCAGAGAAGGCAATGACCATGCTGGGGCACATCACTCTGCCAGGTCACACCTGTGGCTGGACTAGGTTTGAAATCAGGCAGATAAGAGAGAACAGCCATTAAGGTGCAATGAGTTCAAGCTGCTGCTTTGCCAGAATCATTCTGCTTCCTTTTGATCCAGAATATTTCTAAAACTCCCTTCATAAAGAATACAGCCATGAAATTACTTTGCACTGTTTCTTCCTGGCAGCCAGCAAGAGCTCTCCAAGCTCACAAGCTGTGCATGGTAAGAGAGGTGGAGAGGAGAAAAACTTTCCATTTTTTTATATTTACAACAAGCGGGATGGAGCCCTTCTGTCAACATGATCTGGTGGAAACATAAACTCTTGATTTGATTACTCCTCTGATTTCACAATGGGTGGGATCCTCCTGTCAGCAAAGACAACAGGAATTTCCACTGAGAGAGTAATGGCTGTCAACCTGTGCATTGGAGAGCATTCCTCTACACTGGGAGGTGTCTCATTTCTGTTAAACAAAATTTAGAGTGGGTTTTGTTGGGCTTTTTTAATAGGTGTTTCCAAAACATAGCTCCAATCTCTTTGATTCTAACTGATAAGTATTGACATGTGTGCAAAAATAGCATGTGGGTGACAGACTGGAATAGTATTTACTTTTCTTCAAAGAAAATGCAGAAATATTCTAATCTCATCCTTGAAACAGCAGACGCCACAGACTCAATGTCTTTTTACAGCTTGGGTGGGCTTTTTACCTGCATGTTACACACATACATGCACATTTATTTATTTATTCATTGCAATATTCTTGCACAGCCCAGGGCTGGTACAGCCTCACTTTTGCTGTCCTGGCTTCTCCTCAGAATCATCAGCACTGCCCCAGCTGACAAGCCCTGCCACCAGCTGCACCCTGCAGAAATAAGAGCATGTGGTAACTTTAGAACTGTGATAAAATTCTCTCTCCCCCAACACTTTTACAAGCTATCTGAAAGCACTGCCATTTTAGAGATTAAAGGTTTTACAGTTACATGATTAAACCCAAGGTGAAAGATCAGTAGGGGAAAAAAATCAGAATTCTGCTGTTAAATTCAAAATTCAAAAGTTGTCATATAGTACCTGCTTGTATTTAAAAGTCCCAGGTACCCTCCATCCCCTAGCTTGCTTAAATGAAGGTATGGATAGCCAAAGAACCCCCCCAAAATGGCAGGTCTATCCTTTCTGGTCTTTATTTCAGAGCAGTTTGTATTTCCCTGTATAGCAGGATATCAAATGATATTTTTATTAGTTTTTGAATTTCAGCTTTATATCATTATTCATTGCATTAAATCTGGTGTGCATTTTTACTCAAAGCATCACCTTTCATCTGTATTCCATTTATGCTTTGACAAGACTAAGGTTATTGCTTTCTCCTGCTTCTCTGCCTGATTATTAGGCTTACATGACTTACACAGATATTTATCAGCAAAGCTGAAGAAGCCACTCTGCCTCTTGTTAGGCATCTGCATTGCTGTTTCCTGTACTGACTTATAGGTAATAGAATTACATTAAGGCTCCAGCACTGTTTATTGTATTTGATCAAATTTGTTTACAAATGGAAATATTACATTCAAGCAGCATTAAAATGCATCATCTCCAGAGATCTGCAGATATTATTTACTCATAGGGAAGCCTTCTGTACATAATAATAGTTGCTCAGTTTTTCCAGGTACCAATTTTATTTAATACTTTCAAGACAATAGATGACATACATCCCATTCAAACATGTCAATGGATAAATAAATATTACAGCAGCCTTTTGCAGGGCTGCACTTCTGGAAAAGACAAACACGCTGCTAGTATCAGGCTCCAGGTCAGCTTAAATTAAAGCATATCTATTCTGATTCCAAACTATAGCTTTGTTACAAAACAGCAATTAGTAATAATAAAGGTAACAAAGCATGAATTAAAACAAAGCTGCATAAAACATTGCCTTGACATAGTATGACTAGAGACATAGTTATGCTTCAGAAACCATGAATTATTTATCTCAGAAGCAATAGCATTTAATAGTCCCATCAAACTAATGTGGAAAATTACAGAAGTGCAGTAAAAGAGGAATATCATATGAATGTAAAAACTATGCAATTATTTGAATACAGGCTATGTGCCTAGTGTCTTATGAAGGTATGACAGCTTTGAGTGAAGATCAGATTCCTACAGAAGTCCATGACCATTTCATTGAAACCCTTGTGTTTATAACTGTGCATTTAACAGATCTGAAGGATGAGATGGAATTATGCAGACTGTGTTTAGAAGATTTAGACCAGTGA